CTCTTCTTGTTCAACCTTCAGTTCGAAAATTCCTCTACCTTGCTTCGTATATTGACAACTGACGATCCCATGAGGCTTCCAAAAATAGTCTCACGTAACATTTTACTGCCTCTGTTTATGAATCTAAAAACCAACAACGAAATAGATTACCTAGCCCCTTCAGACACGCCTAAATCCATAGTGATCGAACCTCAGGACACGGAGAACTTATAATCTCCTGTTTACTGCGAGGGTGTAATCATTAAAACCTCTCACACATGACCACGCTTGAATTCATCGAGTCATCTTCGAAAATAGCCTTCGAAGGCCCTCCCCGTGACTGCACCCCTAAAGACCATACCTTGGGGCGGTCCTGGGTGGAGTGGGGCGGCGAAAAGGTAAAGAAGTGCGAGAGGTCTTCGGCACACAAGGCGAATATCCCCCTGCTACAAAGAATACTGTCGGCTTTGCACCTTTTCCAAGACACCGTTTTTCCCGCCGGTGACTCTACCTTTTTTCCCGCCGACCACCCCCCCCCCGTCCTCCCTCTCTTCCTACTCCTCGTCATTCTTTTCACCTCCGCCGTTCGGCTTGAGAACTCTCTGATCCTCTCTTTTTTCCACGACGAGCCTCCTTCGTTCTTTCTCTCCCCTCTTCTCGTTCGCCTCCTTTTTTCTCGCGAGCTCCTCGTGTACGCGGTTAAAGAGAACAGCCATTTACTCACGCGATTCAGAAACGGCAAACCGGAGCTTCCTTCACAGGGAAAAGCACCACGGATTTTCTCTGTGACACGTGCACCGTAATCCGAGCCATACTCGTTTCTTGCTCCAAAGTTGCGATTATTTGTGCTAAAGTATGTAGATTATGATTCCTGATGATTAATGTCATGGTAAAACAAATGTTAACTTCGTTAACTATAGTATGAGAATGGCTATCGAGTATTCATTTAGTAAGATATAGTAGACTGTCGATAATGTAGTGTATTCTATCGATAAAAAGAGAGAATGTCGGCAAGGTGGTGTAGTATGTTGATAATGTAGCATACTCTATCGATAAATCTTGGTAATGTAGAACTCTTATTATTAACAGTTTGGTTTAAGGCAAGGTTTACTGGACAATTTTTTTTTAAAAACATTATATTTGATTCTCCTCAACCATGAAAACAATATTCTTCATTTTAAATTAATTTGAATCCATCACTCAACCTCTTCTTCTATGTTTACCTTCTCGTTTCAGACAAATTAATTTTGAAAGTGCGCGTGTGTGTAGGGCCTGTAAATTGCGTGTGGAAGCCGAAATATTGTAGGATCCCGAGACTATATTAATAATAATGTCATTTGGTGCGGATCGAAAGCATGAGGGGCCCTGAGATGCTCGAGACTACGGCCACAAGAGCGCCGACAAATTTGAAATTCAATTCGATGCAAATCTCCCGACGGGGAAGACACTTACGGCTAACCGGCGAACAAGATCGAGGATTTGTCGCTTAGTGTGTTGTAAACACTCGTCCCTTTTTACCAGGCTTATGAAATATTGATAGACTTCCGTTGACGTGTGCGCGTGAAACGACGATGTTCGCGAACATGACGTTAACGACGTCGGTGGCGAATAAAATTGAGTTGCTGAAACCCTTTTCAATGGAATGTTATCGATGCACTTCGTTGATCGAAACGTTAGTAGATCAATCATTCAGAGTTCGCACATTCTCATATTAATGATGGTGTTTTAACATTGTGTCGTTTGACTGGAAAGTATGTCTGTAGATTAGTCTGTCGATAATACAGCGCATTCTGTTGGTATTACAGTGTATTTTATTGATAATACAGTGCATTATGTCGATCATACAGTATAGTCTGTCGATAATGGAGCACATTCTGTCGATAATCGTAACTTTTAGATATACAACTTAATCAGTTCTTAACTCAAAAATTTAAGGATCAATAAATAAAATAAGAAATTAATTCCGTACAGTAGCATGAATTCCAGGCAAGAAGAAAAAATAATATATCGGTTATGTGCAGTTACCTTAACTAATTCAAAATTAGAGTTCAGTATCAATTAAGTATACCTTTCCTACACACGCATATATCAAAGAAATAAATGTACATCCAGTCTGAACGCACATTCACGCACCCAGGGTGCGCGCACGAAGAAAAGAGAACGCGATGGGCCAACGATCCCAATTACAAACATTTCTCGTGGCTTTTCAGAGCTACATTCGTCGGAAGAGGGACCGTGTACAGCCGGTGCATTTCATAGTTCACGCACCCTCGGTACACTCTTCACGTTCTCCGACGTACACCGCCTCCATATCGCTCTCGGTCCAAAAGTACTTTTCGTTTTCAAGTGCGTCCGAGCACATGCGGGTTGATTTTCTTCTTTCTCCCCCTTTTCTCGCTCTCGTTGCGTCACCTTCCGCGCGACGGAGCTGGGTCAACTGCTGCCACAGCGAATGGGGTGACTCGATCGCTGTCGTACACGTTTTTCGAACAAACGCAAACCAGTCACTGCGTGGAAACTCAAAACGAACGTTTTCTAGAAATATTGCCACCACTGGAGATGATTTATTTCCTTATATTGAAGAAAGGGAGTTACCTACTTGAGGAGAGGAAACTTTAGCTCAAATGAGACTTACTGATGGTAATTTTCTACCTTATCGGTGGAATGTGCTGCAGTATCGACAGGCCAGGCTACCTTGTCGACATTGGCTCGTCTTATCGACAAAGTACACTGTATTATTGACAGACTATTCTACCTGTTTCTATCACAGTTTATCACAGCTATCCTACAATTTTACCATTAGCTCGAGAACCCCTTTGGCCTTTTACTGTACTTTTGCAAACGTTCCATAGCATTCTGAAAACACTTTTACTGAGTTAAATCTGAGTTTGAATTACTCTAGTCTCGTGGAAAATTGATTATTTATTACCATAACTTTCTGTGAGCCAAAAACTGCTATCATAAAGCTTACGATGCGTTCCAAAGGCGCGAAGCTGGTGGATCTCGAGGGTCGTTAAACCTGGCTGACACGAGGTTGCTGCGTAATCGCCAGAGCAAGGAAAGTATTTGGCCGGTTTACGGCCGCGAACACAGGAAGCAGACGGAATGAGAAAACGAGAGAAAAGTGACAGGGGGTGGGCGGGCGTAACGGCGGAGGAGGGTGATAATTTGTTAGCATGCGCGCACCCCAAATGCGCGAAATCCCGTCGAAGTGCGGCTCGTGCGCATTGTTTCCTTGTTTGCCAGGTGTTTCGAGTACTTCGGCCGAGTGGGGGCCACGCCATTGTTATACGAGAAGTCGTGCAACCGCTCGACAAAGCCGACGATCTAATGCTCTTTTATTGTGCATTGTGTTCGGCCAAATCAAGGAACGGGGAACACGCTAACCGGGGGATCTAACCGCTTCGACGCGATAGGGGATGGTGGTGGTGGTGCCGCCACTGCTCTCTCTGATCGCAACAAAGACTATGGCGAGTCCGCGTCTTCGCGATCCGCGCTTTTCTGGGGAGATCGATTCACTTTGATTCCATTCAACGTTGTTTTCTCTTTGTCATCCTTATCGAACACCCCATGGTTAGAGATACACCTGTTATAAAAACTCAAGAACGTTCAAAATATGTGTAAACGTAGCTTTGAAAAATTGTTACCTCGGTCAAGATGAACTACATATACCTAGAAATTAATCTTCTTGTTCCTAATCTTCATCTTCCATCTGTCTAATAATGCTATCGAAGGATATGAGTGGATATCGAGGGATTTTTTACAGGACACGAAAGAGTATTTCTTCCAAAAGAACTTTATTCTGTCCTAACGTTTTCTTTAAAGTGAAAATTGATCCGAACGGTTCCGTACCGCGACTCATCTTCACCTTGGAGGCTGACAATGCGCAAAATGAATTGAACGTCACGGTCATGGTAAAAATTACAAGTTTGACGGTTACAGCACACTTAAATCGCGATTCGCCCACGCTGGAGACGTCTTATTGATAACAGTAATACGGGCTATTTGTAAACATTGTAAATTTCGTTACACCGTCCATGCATTTACTGATCACCTGTGTCATGTAGTTTTCTGTTTCTCGTCGTAGCCATGGATTTTCATTTCCACTAATCACTTACGACACAGTCGATTCCTTTCGCTAATTTGAGGGTGTTCATTATTAGGAAATTCGTTAAATTATGTTTATATCAATGTTGCTGGTTATCAAGCATGGTAGGTGGAGTGGAGGGTACAGAGTCGATATTGTAGAGTAATTTACAGGTGAGACTCGATAATGTAGGATATTCTGTCTATAAAGCCATGCTGGTAATGTAGAGCCCAAGTTTCGTTAATCAACCGAGTGTTCTACATTATTGAGTCTTATCTACGGAGTGCGCTACACTATCGACAAAGTACTCAAGATAGTATCATATTTTTGAACAATTGTACAGTAAAAATAATTGAGAACAAATAGTGTCATCTTCCCTGTACCCTCGTAAGTGATTAGACAGAAATCGATCTCTTCACAGTCGGTAATTCTTATTTGTATTGGGACTGTATATTATTGTCAGTACAATTCTGACTAATTTGTAACACAGTTAGAGTCGCTATTTAAATGATAATAAATAATCCGCTACTGCAACGTCAAGTACATTCGTCACGAGTCGTCGATGCGCGTATCTATACATAACCAACGTAAGCTAAAAGTTAAACGCAGCGTGCTGTTGTTGGCAAATAAATACATAATGTAACGTCGTGTCGCGACTTCGTACATTTTTTTTTTTTTTTACAAATAAACAAACTTTACAGACTAGTTGGACATCGCTTCCCCGTCCCCCTTCGAAGGGACAAATCCGAAGTCGACAATTGAGTCTATCTATGTCGTCTTCAATACGGTATCGTTTCAGTCAAAAGTGTATAAAAGTCACATTTTGATTCTTCGACGTTCCAAACGATACCTATCAAATGAGATCGTTCAGGCTTTCGCGAATTGAGTTACACGCGAGTTGAAAGTGTTAAGGTGCCTTCGAGCACGAGTCGTGTTCTTTTGTAACATTTTTGGGTGTTTAGGTGGCGACACAGCAAATGGATAACGTAGTCGTTGATATTGAAGAGGAAGCTTCGAGTTGATGAAAAGCCATCTAGTAGAAAGTGTATAATGTTAAGTAGACCCTCGGTAGAAACTTGGACTCTCGGCAAAAGAACACTACTCGCACTTGGAAGCCAACAGTAGTTCCAACCGCAGCAATCGTCAATAATCGCACCTGTTTTTCGCATAATTATTCTAAGGCTTCGCAATATGACTAACATCATCGTATCAAACGAATAAAGCAGAAAACACGATAACTATAGTTGCTGGGAACCATGGTTACGAATTCAAAGTACGCGCCCGATGTTACTGTGTGTTAAACAAGTGTGACGTAAACTGTCATGTAAATTGCACGCACGTATGCAGACTTCTATCACCGAATCAATTTCATGCTAACACCGATAACATTATGTACAAATTTATTAAAACAATGACTAGTTTCTGTATGGCACCTCGTGGCCGACATATCCTGGACAACGATTACCTCCAATCGTAGTATGAACCTTCAGCGATAGACAATTGGAGATAGTCATAAATAAGTACAGAATGTCAGGTGGTGAAGTTTTTTTTTAAATGACCGCCGAATTAGTTGGTTACTCAAGAACTGTGACGTCATTGTCTCGAGCAAACGTAGGAGTTTGCCTTCTATTATTCGGTTACCGAGCCTCTGCGAAGAAACGGAGAAGCAAAGGTGGTGTTTACCCTCACTCCAAGACCTCGAACGGCCAACTAATTCGTCGACCATTTCTTTACATTCCCATTCCATTACATCCCATAATGTTCGATGATGCAACTGTTATCAGACATGACCAAAAACAGCCCGACGGTACATATTCCATTAATCATCGCGTGCTCGGTGGACATCGATAGCATCAGGGCAAATACCGAGGAAAAGCCTGTACCTTCTCAAATAAATACGTTCCCACGTTATAAAAGCAACGTCAGCGTCATTCAGTTACAAGAGAACGCAACGGAAGTCCTACGCATCCCGACGCACCTGACGTCGCAATGTCCAGCACCGTTTCGAGCACTCGAGGAACGACTTATCAGTTGAAGAAGTCGTCGTCGTCGAATGGATCGTTCTCCCTGACGAATATGTTCACCGACTCCGACTTCCTGATGTACTGATCCCCTCGCGACTTGTTATTGTTATTATTATTGTTGTTGTTCCCAGGACCGTACTTGCCTTGTCGACTGTGGTTCTTCAGGGGCAACGTGGTGGCCCTCTCGGGTACATTATCCTCCATTTCAGATTTAAACGCGAATGCGTCGTCGTCGTATCTCAGATCACCGTTGAAGAATGAATCTCGACCGCTGTCCTCCGAAACAAAACCATCTGCTGCTTGGTGCGCGTCCTTGCTGTCGCAGGGTAGCTCTTCAGGGGTGGCCTTGAGGTCAGAGGGTATCCTCTGACGATCAGACGCATCGCTGGAAGCGCTAGCCGTGGGCGTGAGGTCATCTTCGAAGTAACTGGACCTCTTACTGTACTCCCTTTGGATCTCCTTCCTGGGTAGGTCCTTAGCGTACCTCTTACTAGAAGAAGGGCTCGTCGGCGGTGGTTTCTGGTCGTTCTGATCCGTACGGATCCGTGGCTCGACAGCAGCCAAAGATTCGACACCAGAAGGGTCCACGTGTTCCACGCTTTGTGCAAAGTCGTCTTCGAAGGGGCTCTGAGTCTTTGGATGCGGTCTGGGCTTGTGCCTGGGAATTCTCTTGCGATGGAGACTCTCGCTCTTCGTGTCAGGCCCTTCGGACCAGTAGGGCCTTTCGCCCCAGCTGTCGTATTCCTGGTCGCTGCCCCAATAACTCTCGCGGCTTCTCGAGCGTTGAGACTGTCGTAGGTAAGGATCGGAATCGTTGTCACTGCACTCCGACCTGGACGTGTCGAATTTCCCTCGTGATTCTGTATAAAGTATGTCCGTGTTGCGGCCCTCGTTGGCGCTGTTGGGCCTCTTGGGCCAGTGCCTCTTCCTACAGGATAGATTGTACCTAGGCGAGTCGTCTCCAGGTCGATCTGAACCGTATTCAGTATCCCAGGTACTTGGATAGTCATGTGGCCTTTCCCTGCCTTCTCGATAATAGTAATAGCTCTCTCTGGTAGGATAATCGGGGTCAGGTGGGCCTGACTTCCTGTTCCAGAATCTAGCGTCCTCCTCCCACCTTTTTCTCTCGTACTTGGACCTGTACCACCTGTCCTCTTCGTCGTAACCCATGCTCTTCTGGCTGCCAAACCTGTCCTCTTCGTTCCACAACGCCAGCTTTCTCTTCCTCTCATTGTCATAGAATGGCTCGTGTGCCCAGTTGCAACGTTGTGGCTGCGGTCTGCACTTCCAGTGCGCTTCGTATTGGACCTCTTCGTCTTTGTACTGCATCTTCCGATGAGGGTAGCGTCTGGACTCCTCGTCCCACTGGCTTTCGTCGTGCCAGGAAGAGGGGTCGCGTGGCCTGTATCCAGGATTCTTGATCCACGCCGCGTCGCGAGGCTTCTTCACCATCCTATCTCGAAAACTTCTATCTCTCTTGTTCCCAGGAACCGACCCAGCCTCCTCGTAGAACGATCTGTCGCCAAAAGCTGGCACGTCGAATCGAGGATGCCTGCTGCACCAGAATCTATCTCCTCTCGTTCTTCCGTTGCTCTCTTCGCTTTCTTCTTCGTCCTTCCACTCGTTGTCGCTATCTCCTGACTGTCTGTAGACACCACCTTTGAACGATGGTTCCCTCTGGAACTCCCTACCATCCGGTGACCACGGTGACGTGCCACTGATCGACGGAGTGTCCTCGCAACACGGTCGCTCCGAAACGAACAATCCTGTGTCGAACTTTGCCCAATTAGCATCGTCCTTACCGTCATCAGGCTCCTGCTTCAGCTCCGCGAAAGGACAGAAAATGTCCTCTGAAATAGTAGACTTGTTTCCTTTTGCTGTATGTGTTCCCGTACTCAACATCTTTATCTCCTCGAAGATGTCCATTGTCTTCAAATCGTCCTCCTTCTTCACCTGTTTCTTCGGACTGGATGACGAAGGTGGCGTGTCGGAGAACAGGTTCAGCAGCTCCACTTCAGCCATACCTTTCGACTGAGTCGACGATGAAAGCACAGGGGACACCTGCGCAGAGTTGGACCCATTTTCTTCGTTCTGCTTAGGCAACGGCTCGGGTTCGCCGATGATCTCGCGTAGGGCAGCGTACCTGTCGCTGGAGGTCGATATGGAGGACTTCACCACCCCTGGTTTCTCTACGGCTAGGGTCCCATTTGGCTCTTCAGGATTGCTCTCTGTGGCAGGTTTATCGGATTCTTCGTGAACGTCGTTGGTTTTCTCAGCTTGCTCCGTTTCTTCATCGTCCGCCATAGAATCCCTTCTATCAGACTCTTCACCGACCTCTATGCTCTGTTTTGTCACGAATTCTGTCACGATTTCCACTTCCGTTATGGACATCCTAGTGGTAGTTTCCGTTTCAACAGACTGAGCTTTCTCACTGGCAGAGCTCGACGAAGGCTCGTTCGTTTCATCGTTTGCGTTAGGCATTTCCTCCGTGGCCAGGTCCTCGTTGCTCGGGGGAAGCTTCACCGTCAGGTTCACCAAGGAGACTATGCTCTCGGGCTTGCTTTCGTCCTCAGGCTCTGAACTAGCATTTTCAAAGGTTTCCTTCATAGCTTCAGATACTTCCTCTTCGACTGAATCTTGCATCACCTCCTCGTTCCTCTCCATCTGCTCCAGCTCCAACAGTTCACGAAACACCGCGTACTTGTCGTAAGTAGCATCAGACTTAGGTTCCTGGTCGGTGACTACCTTGGTGAAGGCTTGAGATTCGATGTAGGACTTGGATTGCACGGTATCTGGGAAAGGCTGCGACTTCGTGGTCGGAATTCGTTCCTGTCTCCCCACAGGTTCGTCCTTGTCGTTCGAAGGAAATTCTTTAGCTGACAAGGTCGCCAAGCAGTCTGTCAGTTGCTGAAGAGTCAAGCTTGTCAGCTCCTGTACCGTCATACCAAGACTGTTAGCCAACTCGTTCAAATTCGAGGACGTCAATTGACTCAGCGTGATGTCCAAAGATGGTTTCGCCTTCTTCGTCGTGGTAGATGCGGTCGTGGGGGTGAAGAACGTGGACAGGTTCGTCGTAGGTACCATGGAGCTAAAGGAATCTTCGAATGTAGACGTAGTCATCGATCCAATTAAATCTGATTTAGTGGACAGGTGAAGAGGGGGGCTGAAGTTGTCGTCGAAGTGACTTCTGGCGTCCTTCAGAGGACTCTTGTTCTTGTCTTTCGATATGACAGGCACTGGGTGCTCTCGTTCAGGGAAATCATAGTGAAAGTAGCCCTCGGTATGAGGTGGTCTCGGTGGAGGTTTCACGGCACCTCTGGCGCCCTGCTTCTTCGGAGGCAGGGGCGGTGGATTGATCAGGATATTAGCCACTCCTCGAGGAGGAGGCTCTGGGACCAACTCCAGCTCCGCAGACGAACTGGAGAGTCGAGAATTCGCGTCAGAGGAACAAGACTTCAAGGGCGACGCTGGCGACTCGGTCGTCGTCGTGAAGTCTACAGGGAACGGCTTCTCTATGGATTGGCCTTTACCAGGAGGCAGGTCTATGTCGAAATCCTTCTTGCGTCCTGACTTTATGGGACTTCGAAGCTGGACCAATCCATGCACAGACTCAACCGACTCTTTTTCCATTCGACCGAGCAGCGTAGCGCCCCCTAATGAAATAGCAGGCGCACTCGTAGCAGAAGACTCTTCGGGTGGCAGAGACACGGAGAGCGGTTGATGCTGAGCCGACTTAAGACCAGTTTCCGTTCTTCGCGTCGATTCGGAGCGACCGAAGGCTGGCTGAACCGCCTCGGTTTCGTCGAATCGGTCGAAATTCGCGAAGTTACTGTCGTCGAACTGGCTGTCCGTCGACAGCAAGTCGTTTCGTACCTGGTTCTCCGAGTCCGCGGAATCGGAACCGCCGCTGAAGTTCGTGGGGAACGTGTCGGCCGAGTTGGTGGACACCAGATCTTTCAGGACCTTCTTCGGGGGGTTCTTCAGGTGTTGAAAAAAGTCCTTCTTGTCTACGTATGGTTTTATCAGGCCTGTGCCTAGGGGGTCCAGCTCCGTGAAAACGTCTATCTGGGGACTCTTGGCCTGGGCCTGGGCCTGGAACAGATCATGATTTCGATATTAATGGATTGTCTGAGATGATGGAGGGAGTTGAAGCAATTGTTTTTGGGGACGAATGTTTCTGAAGCTGACTAAGGCTAGATTTCTGCCTGTTATTCTTTGAGAGTCTGAGGTTCCTAAGTCTAGGCTTCTAAAGTGTTCTAGATTGCTCAACAATAAATATGTAATGTTATACTAGGTGTCCACATTAAAGCTTTGCTCTCGATAAAAGTAGACGATTCTATTTTATTGATATTTCAAGCTTTGTTCTCGATAAAAATAGAAAATATCTATTAAAATATTTATAAAATAGATCAATCAAGCATTTATAGGGGTAGCCTCGGCACGTCTGTGCACGACTATCCTGTGTGTGAAAGAACTCTTACTTGATGATGACTAGTTGTCCACATTAAAGCTTTGCTCTCGACGAAAATAGAAAATATCTATTTTATAAATCTATTTGATCTATTTTAAAGCTTCAATGTAGACATTTAGTCATCATCGAGTAAGGGTTCTTTCACAGACAGGGTAGTGGTGCAAAGAAGTGTCGAGGCCACCCCTATAAATCCTCGCTCGATCGTTCGAAAGTACTCTTGGCTTAGATGGTGATACTTGGGCCTGAAACTCCTAAGTGGATAATAGCATTAAACTAAATGTGTTCCTATGGGATGAAGCATTGCAAAAGCTCGATGATTCAAGTCCTAAAACCCTAAGTATTCTATACCACTTAGCAATTAAACGTCAGGAAACCTTAGGCTAAGCATGAATCTGTACGACAGAAAATTCCGAAAAGCCTAAGTCTAGGATCCTAAAATATTTTCCCTCAAAGTACTCACCAATGAACGCCAAGAAACGTTAAACTAAAAGTATTTCTGATGGTACTTCAAAGATAGGAACTCTAAGGCCTTGAAGTAGTTGACTTAGACCATCCAGTAGTGAACTGAAGGATTTTCGAATATTTACCTCGTCCTGTTCCTTCTTTACTGGTGTACTCTTGGCCGAACTGGTGACCTCGTTATCACTGAAAAGGTTTTCTGCATCCTTGTCGAACCACTGAACCGAACCTTGAAGAGGAGGTGTTTTGCTCGTCAAAGTAGTCGCTGGACTCGACGTGACCGACGATTGGGGACCTGGAATCGTTGCCTGTCGCTCCAAATGACCTCTTTTCGAGCCTGATGGCGGTGGGGGCAAAATAGGCCGCACGGTGTCTTCCAACTGCAACCAAACGTTGCTAATAAGAATCGTATAAACTACATAGACTCGTCAAGTCAATGATCAAGAGGAGATTTGTTAGATTGTCTGTACCTTCATGTTTGCGAATGAATCACCAAACGGGTCAGGTTCAAAGAGGCTGTCTGCGGACGGCGGTGGATTTTCGGGAGTGATTTTGTCCATGTGATGGATTCCTTGCTGCAGAGAATTTAGTTCAAACTGTAAGTCTAATAAATCCGCTATTACACCACTTTGAGATTCGTTTCTTTTCTCAGGTTGTTTGTCTACCTCCGGATTCGTGCTCTTTGCTCGATGAAGAGAGGACTCGGTTCCTGCTGCACCCTGTTGAACAATTTCGACCTTCATCTGTATTGTACGATCAATCGATGGATTGTTTTATTGCATCGTTAAAGGAATATGTATATCATAGAAATTTACTTTGGTGTCTGGTGTAGGTTCGGTGAAGATGCCACGAGTGTGAAACTTAATAACACTTATGGCATTCTGCTCCAAGTGTTGCTTCGTTAGCTCGATTTCTTTCTTTTTCAGCTCGAAGACCACTTGAAACAGGTCGTTCATAGCGATCGCTACCTGGAACGTTTTTCCTCAATTGAATGATAATAAGAAACATATTTATTCTTATATGACTATACGTGATCAAAATTGGGGGGGGGGGGGGGGGGGTGTCGAAAGAAATGATTGTTAAAAAAAAAAATTGATAGATTAAAAGCGTGAAACTTCAATAGCTGAATTTTCGAAATGATTTCGATTCTCTTTTCAATGCTCATAAAATATACAGAGTGATTGTACTAACCCGACGACCTCAAATAACAAGTGTGTGAAACAAAAGCTGCGTATAATAAAATAATTAGTCTTATCTTATCCTACTTAGTTATATCGAAAATGTCACATTCGATCTTTAAAGATTGAACATATAAATCTTTGTAATATGAAATAATAAGTAACGCATACAAAACTTACAAAAATTCAGAATTAAAACTCATAAAATCTGAACTCTTCACGTTACAAAAATTTATATTGGAAAAATATTGGATACCAAGATTAATTGGTATCACAAAAAGTTGTGTCAGATCAAATATCAAGAATAGTATTTCCTAGAATCGTTTTGGCCGTTGTGTTCCAGGCATTTGAGGGAAAAGCGTTAGTCAAAGGGAGTTTAAGTAGAAGAAATCCCAGTCTCTTTGAACGAGGACGAAGGGAAGCTTATAATCGAACAACAATCTCCCGCGGCGATCGTTGGAGTAAGCCGAATCACATAATGCAATTATTTACATGCCCCCTCCGCGTCACCCAGGTCGATATTGCTTCTCTCGATTGGACAAATATCATTTTAGACCCCCTACGCATCGCCAAAGCGAATTACAGACGCACGGGAACGGATCTCACGTCGAATTAATCGCGGACAATAGAACGGATCTATTTTATTATCGATTAGCGTGTGCGTCTTACTTGGCTCGCAGCTTTATCAGTTTTTATGCCGAAGAAACGATGTCCAGTATCAGGTGAACCGAAAATGTATCCGAACGCCCTCGAATCGCTGGTATCCTGAGCGATGAAGGATATCTTGTGCACAGGATGGTGATACAGACAGTCCTGGGAACAATTACCAGATCCTTTAATCGAAATAAGACTCGAATGGCGTAATGACTTTAGTAGAAAAGCTGTTTGAGCTTTTACCCCAGACTTTTCGTCCCGCAAGCGTACTCCATCGATGCTGACCTGGATGGAGATTCGTTGTTTGTGTTCACCAGCGGCTCGAATCGCCATCTTCAGGTCCGCCAAAGCTTCTTGGCACATTCGGTCCCCGCTCGCTTCCGACACTTCCAATATGCCAATCAACTTTGCCTTGAACGACACACCCTCCCCAAGAAATCGGGTTGGTTCGAACTTGACTGGAAAATGGGTTTCCATTACCACATCGACGACCAATGTCACAGGTAAAAAGATTTAATCTAAACTCGCCGTATATTGAAAACGACTTATGTTATCAGATCCAAAAGCGTGAAAATATGAAGGTGTATAAAATACATATTACACTGTTCGGATGATAAAACATACTTTCGTTTACGTATGAATTCTTTCATATTTGTGCAAATATGAACATGCATAAACATAGAGTCTAGTAACAATCTATAATAGAGTGGATGTAGGAGGTTGTTTGCGAGAAGACATGAGAAAACGTATGAAGATGTATAGAAAACATATTATATCCTCCTGAAGATAAAACATACTTTCATTTGTGTTTTAATTCTTCCGTATTTACGAAAATATGAATTTTCATAGAGTCTACTAATAATCTATGACTGATGATAACGATAATAGAAATGAATAAACGATGTTTACGAAGACGTCTGCTCCAACGTCTGCGCAGGCGTGCGATCAGCTGACTGGAATTTAAATGGCACGCGCCAAGAGTCACATCCGGTCTAATCCAGGCCTCGAAATGACCCTTTAACGACGTTACTGTTTAATAATAATTAAACGCAGCATCACGGGTTGGTCAATACAGTTTCTACGCAGAGTTAACCATAAACTAGTTTCGAACATGCGGTGTCCAATGGAAATCAATGCGTCACTCGGGGCTCGATGTGCGCTCAACTTTAGACGCTCGCTTTAATATCCCCCGCATGCGGTCTTATTCAAACTTACGCAAAGTAAAATCATTCGAGGCATTGAACGATCGGATCCGAAACAGCAGGGGTGGTCAGGAACGATCCAGCCGAACGATAGAGAGGTTTCAAACCTCTTGAACTAATATTGATCGGTCATACGATCAATTTGCCTCCCGTGAAAACGTGAAACGAGAATCCTTTCGAGCGTCCTCGAGATAAGCAATTTATATCGGTTTTCCCCTTCTTCACGAATACGCGTAACGAGGCCAAATTCGATCCCCCTTGTTCGAAACGAATTCAAAAATTCGGTCATTCGCGAAGGGAATAAATTCGTCACCGTGGTAGTGTTAGATTGGCCAGAAAGTTCGTTGATTTTGTCGTAATGGTTGTTCCTCTGTAATTCAGATGGTTCCTAATTTGATGAGGACTTGCACAAACGATTGTTTGTTTGTTTCTTTATTTTATGAGAGTACGTAATCCATTTTATATCGATTATTGCACCTATTGGTCCAGGTTTGCTTGTTACAAATCACTAGTCTTTTACATATGTGCTTTTTTCCATATCACATTCTTTTACATCAATTCTTAACTTGTTACATGTCTGTCCACCTATATTGTAGCTACAATCAAGCATAGCCTCTGTAGGCTTCCATGAACGAGGAATCATGAATTTTTCTAAAATATGGTCAAAGATCATAGAACTCATAGAGTAATTAGCGTTATAGGGTAAATATATTTCCGTGTCCAAGAAAAACCGCTGTTTATTTGTGCCTTAAACTCCGAACGAACTTTCTGACCAACCTCATAATTTAGAACCTTCGAGTTGCCAGTTTCAGCCCACCAGATTGTCAATTCTTTATTCCACCAGCCAGATAGCAGCGAGCCAGTCGCGCTTTGTCTTTGGCACCGGGCAATTTGTTGAAATCTCCCGGTCTGAAGCTGTTTCGCGAACACTTTTCACGACCCCTCGCGACTTTAATAGTCACGACCACACCGACGCATTTGTTTGAACGTCCTCGTCCGCCTCGAGTGGAGGACGCCAACTGTCGATACTTGAGACTCTATCCAGGATAACCAATTCATGCCCTTCCCCTTTATTTCTCCTCCTAGTCACCTTCCTCCTGCGAGCTTTTTCCTTCGCACACGTCCTCCTTCTACGTATTTCAGGGGGCACATGCGACATTCAATCATTCCTGGCTTGTCACAACAGTCACCGCCGTCGGACGATTGCGAAATAGTGGGTTCGGAAAGTGGATGGTGTAATTTAGCATGTGGGAACCAATTCGTCAGGTATGGACTGTTATTAAGCGACGCTGAAACGGAACAGCGCGCAGGTGGATTCAATTTGACTATACAAGCGGGTGATTATTTTTTACACTTATCAGACCTTGTGTCGCAGAGGGAAGGATTGTAATTTGTGGAGGGTTTATTAGGGTGTAATAACGAAAATGGCGGGAGGGAAAGTGACCTCACAGGTGGTGGAGAATTAAAGTTTTAAGCTGATTTCATTAAAAAAATTGTTGCCAAGGGTGTTAAGCTTTTCATGAAAGTAGTAATGTTATTATTGACGTTAATACTAAGACAACCAAATAAATCCACTGTACGTTGGACTTCTTTTTAAAATGACAGAATTATTAATAACATTTTTGGTACATTTTACAGTGAAAATTGTTGGCAAGGTTGCTAAAGATTTTTTGTTTAAATGACTGGATTATTGACAACATTTTAATTGCATTGCATGATGAGAATTCTTGGAATAGGGAACTAGGTGCATATTGGTCCAATTGATTTGCCCCTCCACTCTCTATTTCCAAAGATATAGTATACATAAGAGGTATGAGCAGAAAATGTCTTTCACTGACAATTATGAATAATTAATCTTATGTCTATATGCTCTAGCACGATGCTAAAATATTCCACTCTCCACCTGTTCTCGCATCGCTGAAATGTTCCGAGTTCCATCTGTTCTATCATCGACCTGTGAGAATTGTTAGATCTGATTGTTAGAACGATATTTTTAAACGCGATAGGGTTGATAGGAGATAGAATGCTTCCCAATGCTGCTTGTTTTAATTCTTATCGCTTGAAAGCTCTGCTATCTTGTTTGTTTGTGAACCGTTAGATGCGACATGAAAATGGCAAGGGAGCTGAAGTGCTCTAAAGCAATGTTTCTCAAACCGTAGTTCGCAGACCCTTGATAGGAGGATCTTTATATCCAAGTTTATGCATCGTCTTGGAAAATATAAAACCATTTCAGTTAAATAAGAATTTGGAATAGGCTCAATAGGCAGTTTTGTAAAAAAATAGATTAAATTTATATAAATAAACCATTAGTATTTACGAATTAACAACAACCACGAAGACTACAGAAATAAATAAAACTCAAGTACCACGAGCCAAAAAAGATTGAGAAACACTGATCCAGACTATACAGGGTGTCTACGTATAAGTTCCGACATACGCAGGGTGTCAATTCTACAACAAATTCCCAACAAAAAATTACTCTTAGACATTTTCTTTGTGTCGCATTATTCTCGAGTATTTTCACCTCTAATTTTTCTTCTGTCTTTTTGACTTGACACTCTTTAAACGGCCATAACTCCACCAAATTGCAGTGCAAATTTAAAATAAAGTATACCATTCGAAAGACCGTTAAATTTACCACTCCCCTGATGCTAAACTAAAATTTATTACGTAGATTTAACAAGTGAAAAATTAGGTCAAACTCCACATTGTGTTTAAATAGTCTTTCAAAACGAAAATTCTATGGATACATGTTCAAAAACAATTACTATTCACCTCGCAATCAGGCTCTAGACTCTCGATTATTTTTCAACAAAATTCGACATGTCATTTTAAAGTTAACTTGACATCGATTTTCATGTATTTTTTAGTGACACTCCCGGGCCTCCCTAATTAGGAAAAAAACTGATGTTTTGACACCTCAAGCCTCTCCCAAGCCTCTAGAGTCTAGAGTCTAGACTCTAGCCGGAAGTGTCACTAAAAAATACATCAAACTCGATGTCAAGTTAATTTTAAAGTGTCAAGTCGATTTTTGTTGAAAAATATCGATTTTCACCTAAAAACCCACGTTTTTCTGCACTTAAACGTCATTTTCTCCCGAAAATACCACCATACAGTTTTTTTTTTTGGCAATACCGTTCAAAAGCTGAGACTTCGAGGAAATTTTTCCCGAAGAGTGCCCGCCAAACAACTATGTCTTTGAAACCGAAAAATGGATAGAGAAAAAGTCAAATTTTTAAAAATTTTCACAATGTAAAGTTTGACCTAATTTTTCACTTGTTAAATCTACGTAATAAATTTTGACTCGGCATCAGGGAGATGGTAAATTTAACGCTCTTTCGAATGGTATACTTAGGTTTAAGTTTACACTGTAATTTGGTGGAGTTATGGCCGTTTAAAGATTGTCAAAAGGAAAACGCAGAAAAAATATTAAAAGTGAAAATTCTCGAGAATAAGGCGACACGAAGAAAATGTCTAAGAGTAATTTTTTGTTGGGAATTTGTTGTAGAATTGACACCTTGTGTATGTCCGAACTTATACGTAGACACCCTGTATACACGTCAAAATTGATCGGTGCCGCCATCTGACGATGAAGTCGCGCACCACAACCACACAATCATCCTGCATTGCCCCAGTCGGTAACATGAAACTACCCTGAAAGCTCGCGCGAAAATCACGAATTGACAAGACAGTTTCCAACGAAACATCGTACAGTCTTCCAAACGTTTCCACGACGCAACACTCGTACACTGTGACGTTTCACACGTCCGTCGCGTATCGGATTATCCAGCTGGATTCGAATTGACCTAACGTCTTTCTCCCTCTTAAAGAAGGGAAGCCATATTCCAAAGCACCCTTCAACCGATCTACAGGGTGGTATCGCAACGTCATGCCAGAACGTTAAAAAATTTAACGAAACGAGCCTGTAACCCTTGGGTGGCGACGCATACGTCCATACATTCGTCAATTCGAATCACAACGGTCAATCACTATGCCCAACGATACGACTTTGACAGACCACGTTCCGACGTATCCATGGAAATATGTGCAATTCGTAGGGGGTGGTTTTTTACTCACACTTGCGCGGACTGTTTTTCTTCCGTAAGGTCTGCATCGATAGTCCCGTGTAGGCGACGAGAGAGTATCGGATAAAGGAATGGAAAAAGTTACCGATCTTCTCTCTCGGCGCACCCTCGGCCGCCGCACTATCGTGAACAGAATTCTCAACACAGGCACATGTCGCTCACACTTGTCTTTCTTCTATCTCCGTCGTCCTTGCGGCCGCTATCTCACCCTTTACCACCTTCTCTTTCTCCAGCTCTCCAGTGGCGCAACCAGCGTGGCCCCTTGGTCGAAATTTATGTTTGGGGCCCTTGAATTCGAATCTTGTGGACGTTCGATGTTAACTTAGATACTTTCACGAAAAATAATTAATTTAATTTATTTCACGCGATATCTAATGACTCGAGCAAAGTTTCAGTACGAAATACAGAGGATAAATTAACCGCGAGTCTTTCCCACGTATCGAGTAGATCAAAACAAATTTTCGTGGAGAATACTCTTGCTGAGACGATTGCAGACCTCGACAACGTTCGTTACGTATTGCAGAAATTATATTAAGCTAACGTGTAGTCGAAGAAGGCCGGAGATTGCCGTGATGTTTATAAATTTGTTAGGAGCCCACGAATTTAGGTTCACTTAGTTACGCCACTGGTCTCACCCTTTTTCACCCGCGGCCTATCCTCGTACTTGCTCTCTCCAGCTCGCCACTCTTCCGTTACTCCCTCTCTGTCGCTCTTTCACCCTCGATTCGAGTATTTCCACGGAAGTACGACGATTGGCGCGTTTCAGGGCACAGTCGGTACTTCTCGTCCAGTAAATACGCTGGCACGTTTCTCGAAGACAGTGAGGAGAACACCGAGATCGCGTGGACACGGTTCCAAGATCGGCTTCTCGCGATAAAACCGCGTGGCGTAAAAATACGTAGGAAGTAACGGCTGCCTCTGCCGGCACGGGTCATCCATGTTAGCCTCTCTTATTGATCAATAATATACCATCTAGTACGTGGCGTCGTCGCTTCGGGGGCCGCCGGAGAATATTTCCCGCTCAGCGCGCGCTTTTCCGCTCGCAAATTTTCCCATCTCCCTCTGTGATCGCTCGTGGTCCAGAGATGGAGATCATTTCGTTCGAATAACGAATGACGGATGGAAACATGGTACAGTGGTTTATCAGTGGCATTCAAGGGGACACGGGGTAGTTTTTATTCGTTCAAAGTTATGTAAGGTTATTACGTGTTTTCTTGCACCCTGTTCCTCAGGTTCACGTAAGTGTTTCCCCTAGTTTGTTTTGTGTTACTTGTTTCTTCTTAAATTATTCTTTCACCTTTGCTTTCTTTGCCTAAGCTCTTTCGTGTTGTTTACATTTCGTTATATTATTCTTTTGTATACGTTTGTACACGTGTTTTTATTGCCACGATCGTAAAATATAATTGTAGTTTGTAATTCGTTAAGTTAATATTTCTAAGTTTTAGCTTCATAATAACTTCAATAATGTGTAGTCGTTTATTCGTTATTCGAAATTTCCATCTAGGCCTATATTTCTAGGTCTATTTCCATACACCCTTTGTCCTAGGGTTGTTTTTGTTCGCGATAAAACAGGGATCTGTCGTTCGAGCCATTTTTTACAGCTTACATATCGACCGAGATAAAAATTTCAATCGGTGCGAAAAAACTCCATTAACATTCATTCGGCAGGTGTCGGTTGCATTCGGTTTCTACATATGCCTATAGGCTAATCATAACGAGGCCACACGTTCAACGATTTAAATTTAAACGCTCCACGTTCATTGGTCAAATGTCACCAAATCAAAGGTAACATTCACGTAAAGCCGAATATTTCCGAACCACGTTCACGGAAATAGCCGATATTGATATACTCCTACTCTTCCTTTACCGCTATTATCACCTTCCCTTGGTAGGTACTTAGTTAGCATTTTTGAATCCAAAGATGGCGCTACCAATTTAACCGCCAGATTTGAACCCTTATATCAGGTGAACCTATAATTCCTATTATCTCTAAACAAAATGAATGATTAAATGTTGTTCAAATTTTCTCGTCATCCTACATACGCGTAAATGTGAAAATAATGAAATTGAATATGTAAAATATTGTAATGAACAAATTCACCATGAATACGGTCGGTAATTCGATGATTACTTTGATTCGAATTAAATTTAATGCTAGATAAAGCAAACGTTATCAGAGCATGACTGTTACTACTTACTATTTTCAGAAAAATCTTGCATCTTGCATCATACAATTTAAAAGTGATAAATTGTTAACATTTGTACAGTACTATAAATTATATTAATACAAACGGGCGCTAATGGAACTAATATCTCGTGTTTACACCGTTATCTTCGAGTAATATCGATGATTATCAAATTGTTTTACTCTCAAGAAAGATTGTTATGATCCAAGAATTTGCAACGTAATGCAATCTAATGCAACATAACGCAACAAATCCATACGTATAAAGTACGTCTTTGTATGTGAGGCAGAAGTGTTTGACGAGCACGAAAAAAGATGGTGGGGCAAGCATTCGTCCAGTTCTCCGCATATTTCCAACCTAGAAACACCTTAACCTTTACCTACTACTCGATCGATTATGCTCAGGACGAATTCTACTTGAACCCCATCTACACCATTCGAGTCGAATGCACTGAAGTGCATTTACTTGGAATCTCAGCGCTACTCGAAGTTTCTCACTATCGTTCGCTTATGGTTATCAAGTTTAAGATTAAATAAATGTAAGCGTAGCATTTTATGGTACGCGATAAATACGATACGTAACCGCTTACTACGCGATAAAGCAATCGATTGATCGTATCCTGAAGATGTAATGATGCCATATCATTCGGTGCTTAACCCTGACAAATCTTTTTTCCGTGTTTATTTTTAAATATTTTATCACAGCTAATTTAGATATAACACATTTTAGAGGAGACAAAAAGTTTCGGAATTTTAGCAATATTAACACTTAGAGATAGCGTTTGGACATGTAATTAAATTTGGTAATATTTTTTTATTTTTTCGAAGGATATTTATTTTATCTGTTAGGGATAGAATTCAGATTAATATTTATGTAATATTACATAATTCGTGAAACGATGAAAGTGTACTACCTCAGTAATAGATAAGAAAGTTTTCCTTGCTACCAGTCGGTAATGTGTTAATATACCTAATTCAAAAAATAATAATTACATAATAGCAACAATTTCTAACAATACGATAAATTGTGTCTCATAATTTTAATTCAGTCGTTTAGTTGCAAATACTTCGAGTACATTAAGTGTCGTTTAACAATAAACAAAATGAAAATATTATCTGGAGGTTTGTAGTATTATCGAAACTTTATCGTAAGTGAACCATGCATAATGAGTTCGCCAGCCCAGTGACAATATTTTTGCTGGTACTTTCCTCGATTCGATTTGTATTACAAGAAAAACACATCGTATTTTCACCGTTATTTAGAACACGATTCGAGCGCGAGAGAGAACGAGCAACGCCATTGGTCGAAGCGCGGCTTTTACCGTCTCATCGGATCACGAGCTTCTCAGTTCGCGCACAGCCGCCGCAGCGTGAGGATGTACGGTAGTGTATGTTCTCTACGGCAGTGAGAGCCAAACGGAAAAGAGATTTGGAGCCGGTGTCGAATCTTTAATTAATTTCTGGCAGCGGTCGTGTCTTGAAAGACATCTCCAGGCTCGTCTCTCCTCTTAACAAATGAACGCACACCATGACATCCCGTGAATACATCGTCGTAACTTTAACGATAGTACTTGGGATCCTCGCAATTAATACGAACGCCAGATCGTGGGGTAAGTAGATCGATGATCCAGCGAACGATCGTATGTGACGGGAAACGGTGTGTGAACGTATTAACAATAATACAACGGTGTACACGAGGTCGTATCAATACTACCGCGTTGCGGGTCGTGCGCTAGAGTACCGACTCCATTCACGCGGCTTCGTTCGTCACGTACGCCACTTTTCGTACACCGCTTTACCATCTCGAAAGACGAAACATTACCGAAAGCTGAATGAAACTGACCCTTTGTTCGCATACAAATTTATCATTGGACCATCACAATCTATATTAACTTGTTAATGAGACGAACGGTACTTGTCCTTACACCTGTTTACGTAATGAATGTCAAGTCGTTGGTGCTACCGTAACTGAGTGCTCGCACATATGTACACGCACATACATACAATGTCAATTAAAAAGGAACATTGGCGTTTTTATTCAAAGGTGGAATTCTTACCTTCTTATTTTGATACAAATTTTGAACGTGGAGTAAAAATTAGGACAGTGATGCTCGTTGAATAAACAGGGGCATTTGAATTACAGAAATACTCGATTGTTGATTACTCATTGAATATATGTGAGTAAGTCACTGTAAATTTGTTTTGTAATGAGACCTTGATTGTTGCACGCGAGTCTCGTTTGTTGCAATGTGTTTACAAGTAGGATAGATGGTTACCTAGCAACGAGTATAGTTGGAGGGAAAAAGGAGCAAATAGTGGTGACTATAGGTAGAGTAGGTGGGGTTACTTTGAATTGGATTGGTCACCTCGATCGTTGCAAGAGCTTGCAGGTCTGGTTTTTGCAACAATCGAGGCTGTACTGTACTTATACCGTATATTTACTTTAATACATGTTGAAGTATGGTAATTTCTTAGACACAAACAAACTATTATTATTACATAAAATCACTTCCAAATAACCAAAAATCATCGAAAGTAAAAGAAATTGTTGATATTTATTCTATTAAATTAGAAAGGTATATCACGAAATTTTATATATGAATACTGAGTCATGTTCGATTATATGTATAAGATTCTGGCGGGAATGATTACTTGACAGTTAGTTATAGTGGTCAATATGCAGTGTTACGCTTTTAATGAATTTATTGTTCCTTGGAGAAAATGCATGTTGTCCGCTTTTCGCAGCGCACGTTGCTCCGTGTCATGACCTTAACGACGGTCGTCTTTTCTTTCTCTTAAGAAATACGTAAACACTTTCGACCTACGATTTACAGGTATACTAGCAATCATACTTTTGGTCGAATCAGGTGCTCCACGTTTGAATATAATTCTCAACTGGTCTTTGTAATCTAGTTAAATACTGAGAAGTCAAATGTTTTGAATACATTTAAATAAATCAGCACATTTGATACGAAGAATGTTTAAATTATTACTTATTAAACAGTATCTATATATGGTGATTCAATAAAATAAATCGATACCTGGTAGTTCAAGTATAGCAGATCGAGAATAGATTTTTGAATGAAATAGGAACCAATTTAGTAATATACTAATTAGCTAATTGTCAAATAAGGTTATTACTGAGACGATTCATGTATTAATAATAGTACAAATATCTTTCGACGCAGGCTGACGGTAATTTATGATAGTTCATTGATAAGAAAACTGCAACGAATGACTATAATTATTCAATTATATTGGTTTTATTCGAAATTTTCAAAGTTAGTATTTTTCCCACGTTTGTGTAGCAGTTCATTTACAACACTCGAATGGACAATTCGATAGTCATTCAATCTTGTATTCGTCCAGCATGAAGCATCATTTGATTATATAATTCAGCCTGTAATTTTTACCAAACGAATAATAGTTAATAATATTTTCTACTCGTTATACGAAAGGTCGTTTATTTAAATGAAACGTACCATTTGCTTATTGCTCGTTAGATGTCTCACACATACGTTACGTAATATTTGTAATTTTTGTTTGTTTTCACGTTTGTAATTGATGATTGTGCAAATTGATTTATAAATTAGTGTTGTGTAGCTATAAAACGCGTGAGCGTAATTATGGAAATGATTAATTACTTCGTTCAGTCCACTTGAACTAACTCGTACGATTGAAATGGATCGCCACGAAATTCGCGGTGATCGTAATCGAACGCATTTTCGTCTCGCGATTATTCGTAAATGCAATCGTGACGAGGATTGTTCTACGTTTATGCTACTCGCGACGTCGTTTCTTTATTTTCTTCTGCTATCGTTGCGTGAAATATAAATCGTCGCGCGGGATTGTGCGAGACGTGCGAAAATTAATACACGGAGCCGACAAGAAAATGTTGAAATGAGAATAATAACGAAACGGAAGATGAGTAAGCATTGCATATAATTTTTCATTCATTTGTCTTCAATAAACGTTCGTACTACTTTTCATCTATTCTGTATGAGCCAATTGAATTAAGTGATGGTAATTATTGATAATAAGAAGAAAAAGCAGGTCTGATTTATCGAAGCCAAGTAAATACAGAATAATAGTCTTTCTTTTCATAGATATATGATTTTAAATCAACAATCACGCCGTGGAAAAGAACAATTGTTGACTATATTAATCATCAAGTATGTTGCATTAAAAGTTGAAGTAGAATTGTGATTTAATTTGGTAATATTAATAACGTAATAACTACGATTTGTATTTTTGAGCTTAAATTAATTGTGCAAGATTTTGGTCAAAGGTTTATGGTTATTTTCAAGGAACAATCAGGTATGATACATTCAGAATAAAACAAGGTGACATTATGATCTAATTTAATAACATTTAATACGTGATAAATTAGTTTTTTGAAAATGGATTAATAAAATGGTGATTATTATTGGTGGTAAAAAGAAACAAGAAATTATTAAGAGTTAAATAAAAAGAATATTAAACGAGAATAATATTAAAAAAATATTAAGTACATTTAAATAAATCATGAAATTTAATACACAGAATTCTTTAATTGCTTTTTATTAAACAACATACATATTGTATGAAATGAAATACAAACAAATTTAGTAATACACTAATTAACCAATTATCTAATAAGCTGATTACCGCGATTATTCATATATTATTCATATATCATTCATATATTAACAATAGTATAGATAACTCTCGCCATAGACGGATAGTAATTCATAATTGTTCGCCGATAAGAAAATTGCAATCAATGACTATTATACAATAGTATAGATTAGAACTTATTTGATAAACGGTAAAATTGCACAACAATAGTATCGTGAAATAATACGATAATAAATTATGTAATTACGAGACAATCGACTGTGCTTCTGTATCATTCGCTTAGAGACCCTAAAATTTATTAATAAAAATAATTTTTTATATTATACTCTAACAACTTCTAATTGACTCGTAGACAACAAGACTACTTATAATATAACGAACGGAATAACGTTTGATTGGAGTTAAAATTCTAAACAAAGATCAGTATTATGCAAAGATCGTTACTGTGTCGTTCACTGTGTAATCTTGGCTAGAAAGAAAAATCCAAAGTGTCGCCAAAGAAATATTCCGTTCTATTAACAGTTATCACGATCACGTGTCAATAAGTCGGATCGAAAGTCGAAGATTAATTGATTTTTCATTCCAGTCCGAGTGACCTACCCAAGAAAACGTAAATGCGCAATGAGTTACTACGGAATAATGTTTTTGCAATCGGCGCATGTTGAGTAACTTGGGCGAGTACGTCGAGATAGCAAGGATTCGTTGACAATATTTGAGTTAGCCGCGTTGTTTACATAGGAATCGATTAGAGGAGGAAAATCTTACATATTATATTGGGATATTTGTTTTTCACAAATACGATAAACGTGCTGCTCGCAATTGCATAAACAATTGGACCGTTTCTATTGCAAAATGACCCAGTTAATTTTCAATAAACCATTCTCAAACAAATTAACAATATTTGCAGATAGTATTTTCATTGAAGTTATTAAGTAAATCTCCAATGAAACATCTTCAAGCAAATTAACTATGTTTAAATAATATTTGCAGGCAATGCCTCCACTGAAACCATATGCAATTTATTATTTACCCTTTGCAATTCAGATTTTCTGATACCTACACATTTTTTCATTTAATACACTTTAAGTGAGGGTTAAATGTGTTTTTCACTAAATTTCATAAATCATTTTCGAGCAATATACGTGATTGAAAACAAAAATATATATTTAATGTTCGATTGATAGCAGTAAGACTAAATAAATATACATATTTCATGCGACATTTCGAAGAAAGGGGGTGATTCTCGCGTGAATAGATAAGACGCGACGTTCAGAACGCTAATCTGCCATTCATAAAGCGAGATGTTGCACTTAAAAAAAAAAAAAGAGGCAACGAAGACAATACATCATAACATTTAACCCTTAATTGTCGCGTTTACACTTCGCGCGTTTTGTCGCGGAGATACAACGCCAGTAATTAATTCACTACAAGGAAACCACACGTTGGTTTACACACATTTGAGCTGCGATAACCGGTCCACTTAGGTGACAAAAAAAGAATAAGGATTGTCACAAGAAGCATAAAGTCACACAATAATTTATCTTGACTTGAATGTTATTCTTGACAAAACTTTTATTTTATAAACAGAACAATGTTATGTATCAAATTGGTAGTATTAAATTGCATTTAATAGCGATGGGTTTACTTCACATCCCCCTCCACGCTTAGGTTACTTCCATTGGGAGCTTTCTTTAATTAGGCAAGCTATACATATATAATATTGAATACTACAAGTATGTTTATTTTCATTATAGTTATACCAAGAAATTGAAGCAGTAAGCACGTAGAGCACTTAAAGCTTCCCCAATAAAGAAAAATATATATATTCTTACGCCTTTTTTGTTATATTTATTTCGATCAATTAACTTAAGTCAGCTCTGATTCCTTCAATTTTTCATTCACTGAATCCAACATATTATTCCAAGAAACCCTGTGGTTAAATTAAACGTATACGTAATAATTATTAACTCATTGTGGTCGCGGCTACGATGAGCAATTTCGCTCATTTGTTTCAACTTATTCGTAGTACAGTGCGTAAGTACCTCATCAATCATTATGCAGGTTTTCTGGTCAACTACACGTTGATATCCACAAAATAAGCTAAACTCAAACATTTTTGATCGAAAGTATTAAGAATTTTTTAACAAGAATTATTTTAAGAACATTTTTTTTTTCTTTTTTTTGAGACACCTATAAGTAGAATACTGTTGAAAGTAAGAAAATTGTAAGCATATACAGCACAGTAATGTTTGATAAATAAACTGTGAAAATATAAAAACAGGCGTAAAGTAGCAATTGAGTTATCCGTAAAAAATCATTCACTATAATTTCACTACAGTAATTTTGTTTGCTAATCACTTCTGATACGTACACCATTCATTTCTTTTTTGCTAATCTAACAGATACAAATGTATGTAATAAAAATCCACGTCAACGGTTTACTGGTTTCAATAAAAGTTATCGAACGTAAATTAAAGAGAATGTTGACACTCGTAATCGAATCGAATTTAATGCACCGTCGAATACAATAAAAGCGTGAAAGTAGCGAACAAAGCAGAGTAATCTCACGGATTAATGAGAGACAACAAGAAACTGACCAAAGTGGACACTATTAATAAATAAATATTATCTTGACGACGTTTACGCGTTTATCTTTATTAAATACATAAAAGAGGTTATCGTGTTCAAGGTACGAAGAACACATATTTGACAGACGTCAATTGTTGTAAAATGTATAACTGGTAACTAAAAGAGTCAGAACTGTGGAGCTAAGAAAAGAAATTCATTATACATTGCAAACACGATGTGTAATCTGTTCCAGCATTCATCCTTCGGTATTTAAAAAAAAAAAGAACTGTTGCATCATTACTCCGTGCATAAGTAAGCATAATTGTTTAAGGTCGCGTAGATTGTATTCTATGAAATAATAGTTTACTGTCAACGTTTGAGAATAGATTAGAGAACAGCCTTTGTGTAAATACTTATTCCTATATAATGTATTTACACAGTGCTCGTGTACACAATGAATATACTTTTTAGTACTGATAAATTGAAGCAGCTGGGGACTTGTTCTTATTCTTATATACAATGTATTTACACAGGGCTCGTGTACACAATACATATACTTATTAGTACTGATAAATTGAAGCAACTGGGGACTTGTTCTAGAAAAGTATCATTTTTATTTGCTAACATGTTACGCGATTAAAAATAATTATCTCATCGATTGAAGAGAAAAAGTATGTAAAAGTGATAGCGGTTTCTATTTCGTTTCGTTCGCAATTCGAAACCGACGCTCGCGTTACAATCGCGTTTAAATATTCTGACGTGTCAATTTCTGACTTGTTCGCAGATTTAGCAGTAGTAATCGGTCGCGATGTCGAATTTTTCGCGCGAAACAGAACACTGACTGGCCAAGCCAAAATTTCGGACGCTGTGGCACTGACGGGAATAGCCTACGATGACATTACTCGCACTATGTACTTCAGCGACACACGTGGCAATGTATCTGTGTTCAGTAATGACTTGACGAACAAGAATTTTACGTCAAAGCCATTAATTAAAAGTAAGTACACATCCATATGCAAATTCCTTCTTATTCTCATCGATTGATCATTCAAATTTATTTTGATATATATATATTGATATTGATATATATATAACTAATATGGAACTTATGTTCAGCGCCATCAGTGGCGAAACGCCCAAGTTTGTAGCCAAATAATCCCTGTTCTCAGCGCTAGATGGCACCATCAAGCTATGTTCACCGATAAAGCAGATATCTATTCACTTTTCAAATCTGTGTGCTTGTGGTTTCCTTATAACTCTTATTATTTTTATTCAATTCAGATGAAATTTTGTTTAGTTGCTGCTTACGTCTCGATGGAAAGCATAGACTACTTAACAGCTGCAAACAAATGACGCCTGTGATGGGGGAACACAGCTGTAATAAAATAAAAATATTTGAGACCCAGAGAGTTTGATAAACTTTCTTCGACAATTTCATATAAATTCCCCCTTGTATCACAAATTCACATTTCTACGTACACTCATTTTAACACGTTGATCGCCACGTCACCCATACGTGGGTGACAATGCTTTTCACTGAAAAACGAAAACTATTAATTCTGAAAGTTAAGTGTCATAGAAAATGAATTTAAATGAAATACTTGAATTTTGATGAAATTAGAAAACTAAATACCAAATTAAATGTTTCATTACGCAGTTTCCGAAAGTCTGTAAACAAAATTAAATCGCGGTAGAAATTTTCAAGAGTATTAGTCTGGCAGTGAACGTGTTAAAGTACATGTACTATATAATATGCATGTATAGTACATATACATGTACTATATAATTTTTTGAATAATACAGGATAATACAAATTAATTAAGAATAATACATGATAATTGATCCTAATTTGTGTAGCAAGTGAATTGAGAAAGGAAACTTCGCCACGTCGACTTCCTCGAACATTGCTTACGGAAACTTCATCTTCTTTTCTTTTTCTTTAACGCGGTGACGCAACTTTCATAATAAACGCCTAATTTGTTGCCTGCAGGACAGAACAGAAGCCACATCCTAGGAATCGCTTTCGATACAAAGACGCGAAGCCTGGTCTGGGTGGACTATATGACAGAAGTAATAATGAAAATGCACGTGCCATTGGACAGTCCGCCGGAGGAGCCCGTTATTTTACACAATTTAACAGACAGGAGTCCGCGCGGCATTGCTCTGGACCTATGTAACAGGTGTGCCATTTATGTCTACGTAGACCCGAAATTCTCGTCAGCAGTCTTCGACCCGGCTGTTAACGTTCCATTTAGATGCTCGCGTCGAGTAGAGACAATCCTATCGACCAAAAGAACAAATTCAATAAAAAAAAAAAATAATAATAATAATAATAATAAGATAAATAAAAATTGTAACGACGTGGAAAACAGGAAGGCGCGGATATCTCATAAATGTACGTTGTTTCCAGTCACATATACTGGGTAAATAGTAACATAACGAATCCAAGCATAGAGCGCTCGAATCTAGACGGAAGCGGGAGAGTTACCATTATTAAAGAAAATTTGTACGAGCCGCTAGCGGTAGCTGTAGATCACGCTGAAGAGAAACTCTATTGGATCGACGACTTAGAAGGTATAAGGATCAAAATCGAGCGCAGCAATCTCGATGGCAGCGAACGCGAGCTGTTGGCTCCCGCTACGCACCAGTTACCAGTCGCCCTGGCCGTGGACAATGACATGATATACTGGACAGATTCAGTGTATAGGTCCATATGGATGATGCCGAAAAACCTGAGCGTTGGCAGCATAGCTGTAGAATTCAAATCGTATTACACGTCCAAGCACGACGCTGACCCCGCTGGAATTATAGCTCGTGATAACATTGGAAGCATAGATTGCGCGGCGTACGCGAAAATTAGACGAAAAACGAATTACGCGAACTCGACGACCGCACGAATGACAGCTGGGTCATTTAACAATTTAACCACCAGCACGGAAGAATCGGAATTGACCACCGAGAGCTCCACACACTGCCTAAATAACGGACACGTAGACTTGAACGGCTACACCTGCCTCTGCAAGCCTGGGTGAGTTCAAGGTCTTCATTATTGAACTTGATGAAGTAGTCAATTGAAAATATTGTGCATGATATTAGAAAGGAAAGACGATTGTAATTAATAGACAGTGGATATTTATGCATTTATGACGATCTATATTTATAATTCTAAATATAGAAAAACATGCAAGGGTGTGTACAAATACATGAATATATAAAATATAAAAAATAAAGTATACAGTTACAACATTTAGAAGACAAAATATACTTCAACGGAAACATATATAAAAATGTGTATTGCATAAACATCCGCAGTCCAGTAAATAAATTAAAATTCATAATGTAATAGTAATACATTATTAAAAATCACTTCAGGTTCGGCGGCACGCATTGTGAGATCGATGTTTGTCACAATTACTGCCTCCGAGGTAGCTGCATTATAGATAACCAAGGATCTCCCACATGTGACTGTGACGATACTTTTGCCGGGTCACGATGCGAAACAGACTTATGCAAAGATTATTGCTTGCACGATGGTCAATGCTCTATCCTAAACGGTAAACCAATTTGTAAATGTAAATACTTCGAAGGGTCACGTTGCGAAACCTTGACCAATGTAACTAAAGTCTGTGAGATCTTTTGTGCGAATACTGAGCTAGTCCCTACTATAGACGTCGATGCGATAAACTGCAGGTACATTTTTACTGATAATAGGATTCTTATTCTAGTGATAATTGGAATTATTGCTTGGTGTAAAAAACAAATACTAAGCAATGGTGTCAATTGAAGCATGTTTATTTTTATTTTCACGCTATAATTTTCACTATATATATTTACAAAAATACATTTATGTAGACCAAGCTTGCTTTACCAACGAGCATATACATAGTACTCTTTTCAACAAACATTTTTGTTCATTGAAAACAAAAATTTAAAGAAGTTGCAAGCTTACAAGTATGTGTTTACTTTATTGAAACAGGTGCGGAGAACTGAACAAAACGAATGCACAAATGATCTTAATGGAGGAAGACGACGAGTACAAAATATTGCTGCCAATTTTTTGTGTACTTATCGCTGTACTTTCTCTCGTAATCATCGTACTTAGTTACTATATAAATAAATTACGAAGACGGCCACGAATTAGGAAGCGTTTCGTTGTCAGCAAAGGTGGCGTAACGCCATTGACCTCTAGGCCACAAGTGCCGGACAATCAGTGCGAAATAACCATAGAGAACTGCTGCAACATGAATATCTGTGAAACTGTGAGTGAAATATCACCTAAAACATAAAAAAAAAACCCTTCGCGTGCATGCCACATATATGCACATAATATGCTTCCGATGTGCAATAAGTATGAAGTTTTAAACGCGCGCCACAGTTATTCGAATAATAGACTGAGGGGAAAAGCATCCATCGACGATCTGCTTAACTTAACTCGAGAAATTTGAATTTGAATCTCAATGTAGTAAACCGTTGGAACGATTCTTCTACATACAAAGAATCTCGTCTAGTTGTTAATTAATACGGTTTGCTACATTGCGAATAGAAACAAAGACATGACGACAGTATTGTCTTCTATTTTTTTAGTTCAATATATACATATATATTGTTCACTTAATTATAAGTAAAACTGCTTAATTACAATTAAGATCATTACATAATATTTATTATTTATTTGCTAACCTTCGTATTATTTCTTCAGAAATTCATTGCCCACTCGTAACAACCGATTGCTTATAACGCGATTATCATTTTGATATCTGGTTCTGCATGAATTCACGTTAATTCGATAAAATCTATGCAACATATTTTTTCATGTGCACATTTTATTTTCACTTTGATCTAATAAACAGGGTACACATTAAATACACCAGGAAACTAATTTGGAATAAGCCTGTGTTGACTTTCTTTGAGATATCACTTCCGGTGTGCGCTAGTTTGATGAACGATCTTTCATCAGTCATTTCCATCACTGTAACATGACTATTTATTTTATAATGTGTTCAAATTGCAGAAAACTACATAATTAATAGCATTAATATAAAGGATTATTTAGGAATCTGCTTGCTAGAATGATTATAACATATACTAATCACTGACCTTGTATCAGACCTGGACACGTTAGAAATACATTATTTGAAATTTCCAGCAATACATTTAATTTTATGAAATAATTTGTATGGTATTAATTCAGTATTCAAAATAATGGAGCGCAATTTCAAATAGTTATTTCTTATTTTCGTTTCAAATAAAATTTGTCCAGGTTGGCAATGCTACGTTTCTTTTAAAAAGTAGAAACATTTTTTCCAGATACGCGAGATTTATTGTAATTGATTTAATTATGCTTTTCGTCGCTAGAATTTTTGGAATAAAATTCATGAAAATTTCTACTATTCGAAATCTTATGTCTTTTTTTACAGCCATGTTTCGAACCAAATTTACGTACTCCGATGCCGGAAAATAAGAATAATAAGAAAGAAGAGAAGAATTCTTTGCTCGATAACATGGAGGAGAATTCGTGGTAGCACAAACTAATATATCGACGTGAGAACTAGCGAAGGTCTTGTGGGCTTTAAATGAAAGTTCGTGAAAAGTTTCGCTTCGCAGAACTTTACGCGTCTGTACATAACACGGCATATTGTAGTATTATTGTTAAATTTAGTAGTCATACTTCCAAAAAAAAAATAATGCAAAAACACCGTAACAATGATACAGTCAAAAAACGAAAGCCAAAGGTCTTTTTGAAGACTCTTATTACGTCATATGATATGTAGGGCTGTGTTCATGTAACGATTATTTCAAATAGCTATTGGAAAGTAACGAATCTTTTTGTTTTTGAAGGTATATATATATATAATTATATATTTTTCATATAAAAAAAACGGGAAATGTTGAGTTCCTTGGCATTTTTGTAATGTCTCGATAGATACGTATATACAAATATACGAAGAAAATATACAGAATATTAGAATATATTCTGTACATTTTCTAATTCCCTCAATTGTTTCCGCGTACGCGTTTATTTATTTCTCGTAGCTGTTTTCAAAATAAATGACACCAAAAATTCAACCGATTCCAATTGAAGGATACATAAAAGCTGCCTTAATCGCTAGACTTGTAATATTTGCTCAACGTACTATGCAGTACATTCCTAAAAAGATGTTGTAGATCACAAGATTATTATAGCGAACATTATTACGTTTGTAAAAACAAATTGGGCGTTTTCATACAAGAATCCTTGTCGAGCTTGACGATTCACGGGTTAAATATTAAGTCATTACATTATCAACAAAGACAAACGAATCTTTCATTATTTTCCTTAATTCATTGAACATGTTTGCATTTGTTCTTGTATATTTTCATACATCCAAGAAAAAGGTCTACGTGGAACAAAGTTTTATGTATCATTCGTAGACAGAACGCTAGTAGGTTTAGAGACATTCATTTCAAATGCCAGATGATTTGTTTAAGAACTCTGTGTACTTTAGAATCACATAAATGTCATTTGGACAGACTTGAAAGATCAGCTTTCATTTAACTTATGTAAGTGATATTGTTTAGTAAATAACTGCAGCTATTTGTATAAATCTTGTACAGCGTTATTTTATATATTTGTGCAGGAGCGTGTGCGCGCGCACGATAAAAATGAATTCGCGAAAGATCAAGATACATTTCTATAAACTGTAAACCTTTGAGAATCAGAAATTAAAAATTTCAGATGATAATAAAAGTCATTGGTGTAAACCATGAACGTTTATACTTATAGAGAGTACGATAAACAGGAAAAAATTTGTTGCATGCTGGAGGATCCTTCGTAACCTCTTAATTTTCGAGATAGAGTACAAATACATTTAAGTGAAAATAACTTGTATAGAAAATAATAGAAGGACCGAGGAAACTTCATTTTCAAATAGTCAAATTACATTTTTTTTCGCTTCATTGCTTCCAATACTTACGTGTCAAACAGTACTTTCTACTACTCTCTTTATGCTTAAACTAGATAATTCTTTACTGTTAAAAAGTGACTGCTTAACATTGTACATCCATTTAGAGACGTAAACCTAAATTTCTACCAAAGTGACATGTAACATTATTAACATTAGCTGTAGTATAATTATTATTTTCGAAAACTTATCGTTTCAAAATAGTCGTACAGATTAAATTTATACGACATCATACATATAACAATAATAATAATACGCCTTTATTGCACCAAATAGGTAAACTGAATAGGTTGAGAAAACAATTGTAGCTTAGTAGCAATGAATGATGGTGGTGCAATGGCATGATGCAGCTGTTTGCTCTTATAAATTTAAACTTGAATATAAGATACCATGTTTCTTTCATAGTACAAAACGATTCATTATTTCGCTAAAAAAAAACACGAGCTAATGATTGATGTAATTGTTCATTGCCTTTTATTTTCAATATGTACTTTTAGTCCTTATACTACGGAATAACGTTCCTGTCGTCTTAAAGACAAAGCAAATTAAGTACATGACGATTTATTTTTTTTCTGTATATGATGAAAATTATTTAAAATTAATCGATCTTTGCTTTTAGACTTTAGTTGCGCAGTTTTATATATAAGACGTTTCTATAATTTGTTGAATTCCGAAATATGTTCGAATAGAATGATACAAGTGATGTGTGTATATTATATTTGGAATATAAGCATTTCGCGAACACTGATCCCCAGAGATGGGATAGTGTCTTTATAGTAAAAGGTTTATATTCCCTGTTAGCAAGATGTTGATAGTTAGTTCGCGAATAGCAAAATTATCAATTTTCGATCGCGTTTCTTGTTTGTACTTAATTTAATTACAATTGACGATTGCACGATACTTAAATTATTTTATCGTTTTCAAAAGTAAAATGTACTTTACCAATGCACCAAAAGTACTGAACGTTTTAAATATTTTGTATCATTCTATTGTAATTAACATGTTGATTACTATTGTATACAGACGAAAATGAAATAAAATTAATTAAGCACTAAAGGTTATTTGTCACGTTTATTTGTAAGAATACATACATCATTTAAATTTTCATGTACAAGATATTACCACCCCTTCCAAAAATAAATAAAATTATTAACTATAATTCAATTATTATTAAAATAATTACATACAGAAAGATAAACATTTAACTTATAACTTTAACAAATAATGTTTTTCTAATCTGCTTTTAACTGTGTATCTGGTAAAACTATTTTTTCCCCAGGCTTAAATGCAGGAACACCAAGATATGGGCAGCTGGCACATCGAAACGCATCTCCAAGGTGGCACTGTAAAATGTGAAAAAATGATCATATTATTTAATTATCTGATATATTTTCTTTTTCAAAGTATAGATATAAATATGGGTTTTACGTACACGTCCACAAGAGGACTTTATAGTTTCCTTTTGTTCCATTTTACCACTTAATTCCTCAGCTAATCCACAGGAACAATCCTTGCATGCTTTTCGTTTACCAGTTGTACTACAAACTAAAGTAGAAGGTAAAAATGTTAATATTATAATACATGAAAAACGAAAACTAATGTATTTAAATTACCTCTCAAACTGGATACTTCAGGTTTTAGAATGTCAGTTTCATCTAGAAGATCATCCTCATTGATTAATTCTTCATCAACAGCACTATCTAATTTCCATACATTGGCTTTCTGTTTTCCAAAGTTAAGTGTTACACTAGAACCAATCTAGAGAAATTTAAAACAGGTAAGTTAATGCAATCAATGATAGTATTTTTTTAAAACAAACAATCATACAACTTACTTCAAATGAGGGTTTCTCTGCTACTATTTCAGAAATGTTGTTCGAGTCATTGTAGACTCCTAGCAAATCATTCTTCAATTGCTGGGTATCTGAATCTTCATTAGATTTTATTTTGAATCCAGCCAATTTCAAATTTGATACTCTCTTATCATACAGAGACTTTGTATCAGCCTCTTTATTTTTTGGGAATGACTCATAAATAATTAATGTGCCTTTTGGCTTTATTGCTTTCAAACAATCCTCTAAAAACGTCTTATAATTTGGACAAGACTGCTTGAAAATAGAAATAATTGTGTCGTAGGACGATGCGTTGTTAATATCTAGAGTAAAATTATTCAAGAAATATCAGGTATTGCCAATTATATAAATATATACGCTATTGACTTCTGCGTTTCACATACTCACGTATTTCTAATTCCTTTGTTGATGCAATAATTAACTGCTCTGCATTTGTGAGAGGCTTCCTAATCGCACTAATGAAATCAACAACATCATCTTTCGAAATTTCGTTGTCTAGAACTACGAGAACTCTGTCATTTTCTTTAAGAACAGTCATTTTGACCAGTATTGGCAGACAGTACCACGCGCTTTTTGTTGAATCAGTATAGAACTCAGCTGTTTCGCAGAGACTAACAAATAATAGATTTCCAACCACAAAAGTATTCTGTGTGGCTATGAATGTACTAAATACTGATATACTGATTTATATGGCGGAGCACTTGTAAACTACAATCTGCTACAATCTCATTGCATCCAATTGCATCATTCGCGGTGGGTTTGACTAACATATAGAATGCTTTCAGGACACAATGTGTTTTCGTTGTTTGAAGACTTTTGCGAAATTTGAAAATCAGAGGTGATTCAGGATACAGAAAGGCGTTACGATTGATCATATAAATAAACTAAAATTTGTATTAATATATTTAAAAGCGTATTTTATAGGTTAAGTTATTTTGGCCCCATCTAACGGGAAAGCGATCAAGTTTGTCGTAAAAAAGTTTCATGTTCATTTTGATAGATGGCACCGCTAGCTTTTTTATACCGACATTTGCAACAACTGTTTTGGGTAATTAATGAACGTGTAATTAGCAAACAAACATTATAGTACTACTAATCAGCTAAAGAAATCGATCGTGTCGTTTAGAAGTGTAAAAATGCAAATTTATAAATTTCATATACAACTAGTGCCATCTAACGAAAAAATGCCCAAGTTTGTTTTGGAATAGTTTCCTCCTTTCTTTCGTAGATGGCGCCTCCGTCTGCTGAATACCGACGATTTTAGAAAACGTTTTTTTATGTTTAATAACGAATTTGCATTCGGCAAACACACGTTGTAATAGTATAAGTTAGCTAAAGAAACTGATTATGCTATTTAGCAGTGTACAAATTGGGCAATTTTTCTCTATAAAATTACCTATTATCTACGTAGGGAGAGGTCTGTAATTTAGCAGGACAATCTTTCGTTAAAAACATTATTTTTAGACCAATTTCAGCTTGCAAACTATAGAATATAATTGCAGTTACTGCTTACGATGCTCTACGTGACGTAAGATTAATTAAATAAGCCAGGAAAAGTGAAAAAAATGTAAATATTTGAAATGTTGGTAACCTGAGAATTTGCGCCATCTAGAGTCATTCATAAGAACTATTCGAGGACAAACTTGAGCGTTTTCCTGATAGAGGCGCTGTACGGAGTTCGAAAGTTAGTTCAGATTCTGGCCACTAGATGGCGATACCGTAGAAGGCGCCAAATTTGAACCATTTTTAGGAAGCATCAACATTTCTCGCATTTTTAAATAATTAATTAATATTAAATATTAAAAATGGTAATGGCAAAGGCAGTATTAAAGTATCTTTTCATTTATTCTTCGAATTACTTTGAACTTTCAAATGTTCTTATTGAAAACTCAGTATGTATATACACATAACATAGAAATGTTTGAATACAAATATTTTATTATAATAATGAAAGTTACAAATACTGCGTTGTAAATATACTTAACAGTCATTTCACGTACTTACCAATTAGTAATTAATTTTTCTCCCCCATACATTGCATTATTTACCCATAATTAAAAAGTACTGTGGTACTTACTGTCTTGATTATTTTTCCACAGTAAATATTTTACTTCAGAATGTAAATAGTAACAAAGGAATAATGTAATGGGATAATGTAAATAATGAAAAACACATTTGCTATCAAATAAATTTTTATTAGAAGGCTAGAGAATTCATTTATTTTCCGTTGCAACTACTCGTTCATAACACAACTTAAAAAATGAATAACAAGTCGATTTAGATTGCAAAACCAATTTTTTTTTCTAATAAACATCCGTGTATGCGTAATACTTCTATTTAAAAACGCACTTGAGGAATAAGAAGTGGTAGGGACAGATCTTGCATTCGCTGTTAATAAGATTTCTTAACAATCCTCACAGATGGATTGTATCATAATTGATAACCCACCAGTCAGTTATTCGTTGTCATTCAGACTGGTAACACGCGCGTATTGTCTGACCGATTAAAAATTACTGGAAAATAGGTGAGTGTTCAAAGAATCATCTAAAACTTTATTCATTACTAGCGTGTAAGGTAGTTTAGCCATAGCGATGCTGTGACGTAACACTCCATCTACAATCACGTATAACGAGTGAGTGTAGTGGTAGCCATTCTTGAAAAATCGAAAATGTCGAACCCAATTCGATTAAAATCATGTTTATATTTAGAATGTTGTTTTGTTTGCTGTAATCAGCTGTAGTGTATTCATAAGAAGTGATAACATTACACAATAAACATTATTTCAAGTTGATTGTGAAGTTTGTTGTTTCAGTAGTGATAGTAGAGTTTAATTTCGATTTTCATTGATTAACCTGCTTCAATATTTATTTAACAACTTTTTCCTCTGCAATTACATACTATGTTTTGTTAAACATTTGTTGTTAAACTGTTTGTTATTTTAAATAAATTGTTATGAAATTATTGTAAATTATATTGTATTGACAGAACCTGTAATGTTTACAATAAATAGTTTACTGAATTATTAAACTGAGATGGTATATTGTGGTGTCAATTTTTATAAAGAAGAGTATTTTCAATTTAAACCTGCAGATGTTTTTAATTTTATTGTCTACCATCCCTGTAGTTGTTTGCTCTGAACTCCGTGGGAGGCATAGGTCATTCTTATCATTATCCACTTTAAGTAATATACATTGCAAAAGAATTGAGTTAGATCTTTCTTAGTAGTAATGTCAGTATATGTTATGTATTGATATAGTACCACGTACAGTTATCATTAGAAAAGTATTAACAATTAGTATAGTCAATTACAAGTAAGTAATTAAAGTAAGTTACTTTTAAGCATTAAGAAGAGTTATTAATACATCAAGTTATTTAATTTATTGATTGCAAGCTAATAACAGACAGGTTACAGTAGATTAAATACATAATATATTAAGAATTCAATCCCGTGTTTTCATTACCATCCATCCCAATAGCGATAACATACTTTACATTCAATCTTTAAAGCCAGCTTATTTTTGATACTGTTGTATCCATAGGTTAATGTAACACGATAGGTGAGAAAGGCAATTTTGGAAGAAATATTTACCATTCGATCTGAACTTACAATGTCTAAGAATGTAGGAAACACAGAAGTATCACATACGTTAATCTTTTATGTTAATGGAAAAGAGGTACGTGGGTTGCACGGGTAGGAAATGTTATAAGTTTTAGTATTTTAAGTATTTCTGTAATATTTTAGGTAGTTGATGATAATGTCAACCCAGAATGGACATTATTATGGTACTTGAGAGACAAATGTATCCTTATTGTATAATCAATTATAGGGTGAGAACTTTTGAAATTTTATTTATCATTTCTGTCAATGTTTGTTGAGTATATTAATGGAACCATACAAGATTATATAAACTGTAGCATTAAAATTCATCAGAAAGGCAGTTGTATTTGAAACCTTGAGTACAGTAGCATCTACATTGCTACATTGCTAGTCTACGCAAAAATTACTTTTACTTCATTTTGTATTCAAACAACTTCAACTCAGATAATGCAATCTCTGGTCAGAATTTAATGGATCTGGATACAGATTATGATATCTACTGGCGTTTGAATCTGTAAATATGGTCAGTTTCATTATTTACTTTCTATCATTTCCTATAATCTTATCAGTATCTTATAAGTCATCTTAACATGATGTCAATATATCTTAATCACTACTTGCACTTGCATTTGCCATATCACCATCGAATACTGAAACAGTAGTCTATATCTTCATGTAATGTGGGCTTATTATTAACGAAACTTTATTAATATTGAAAATAATTGTTTTTCTTGAAAATAAAGTTTTTTATGCAGAAATTTAATTCCATAAAACTTCATTCAAATTCATATAATAAGAGTCCTTAACAAAAAAAATGTAGTACACTTGACTGGTACCAAACTGGGTTGTGCAGAAGGGGGATGTGGAGCTTGTACTGTAATGATATCAAGGGTGGATCGCAAAACTGGGATTATTACGTATCCTTTTCAGTTATAAACATAATTTACAGTTAATTACAGTTTACAAACTGTAACGAAGTCGTCCAACCAGTTTTGCTTGAACCTTTCAATGTTCGAAGCAAAATGAATTGGCTGCTCAAGGTCACCGAGGAAGTACCCCCTCTACCCTGTTTACTTCCAAGATATTATCCACGGACTCAAATATTTTCTTTAATTGTTTATTTTAATAATTTCCATAGTCATTTAGCAGCGAATGCGTGTTTAACACCAATCTGTGCCGTGCATGGTATGGCCGTGACCACTGTGGAAGGCATTGGAAGTGTTAAAACAAAAATTCATCCAGTTCAGGAACGTATAGCAAAAGCACACGGCTCACAATGTGGTTTTTGCACACCTGGCATAGTGATGTCCATGTATGCGTTGTTGAGAAGCACTCAAAAACCTACTATGAAGGACCTTGAAATAGCGTTTCAAGGTGACTGTAAAATCAAATGATGTTTCTCAGGTCGTCACTTACAAGTAGTCATCCTCACCATCACGTGGAAATACACGTGTCATGGTCTTTTCACTCGTTTTTGCTCACTATCATCCTGTATCAAAAATGAACACAATTTTTATCTTAGCAAACATTTTAAGTAACGAATAAGAGATAAACGCTTTTCAAGGTCACCGTTTCAAAGACTTAAATTAGAGTTGGGAATACAATGGTGTACACTTGAAATAAAATATTTTATTCTTAGCTACTATTCAGTGATCTTGAGTGACCTTGAACTGTAAGAACGATCTCAAAATGTCTGGCGTTTGGCGAAGGAGACCTTCGAAGAACGAACCCGTTTTATATTTTATACTTCTACTATATTTATGTCTATAATAATGTTTTATTTAAATATTATTATTATTATTATTTTATCTGATATTCTACTTGTAGGGAACTTGTGCAGATGCACAGGGTACCGTCCTATTATAGAAGCCTACAAAACTTTCACAGAAGAATGGGAACAATTGCAATTAATGTCAAACCAGCGGGAAAATTCTTTGCCAAATGGATTCTGTCCAATGGGAGAAAATTGTTGCAAAAAAGTGCAAATAGCAGAACCATCCGAGGTTTTCAATTCAAGTGAATTCAGTCCGTACGACGCCTCGCAAGAAATTATATTTCCTCCTAATTTGCTGGTACATTATCGCTAATTTAAAATTTAAACGTATTACCCTGAATAAGATCTTCAGAAGTAAAATATATCTTCAGATTTCTTCAACTCTGGATGACCAATATTTAATCAT